AAAAGAGGCTGAAAATAGAGAGAGGAGAAAGTAGATAAAAAAAGTTAAATAAGACTTGAAAAACACCGAAAAACTCAAGATATCTAAGAGTAAGAAAATATATTGCAGTAATCCCACCGTCAGTGGCCGATGGAGCAGAGACAAATAACCCCTATGCTTCGAAATGCCTGAGAAGAATAAGTCAGAATGATCTAGTGGGAACATTTTGAAAGTTTACTCTTTATGAGCTAGGGAATGAGGAGCTTTTTTAAGTTCAATCTAGCGGTTTTGTGGATATATCAATGATAACACTGTCTGGAAAGGAAGGGGGGAGGACAATGTATGGAGTACTAAGAGAAACCGGGCCAAGAGTAAAATGCATTTGATCAAGACGTAAAGTGAATAGATTCGCAGTATGGCATAAGAGATGCCTAAGGATGAGAATAAGCCAGGTGTGCGAAGCTGAACCTCGCCAGCTAACCCCTTACCTTGACCCACATTGAGAGGGCGTCCTCGTAGCCGCACCAAATCTTGTTTCCCTGATAAAACGCATAAGGCTCGTTCATATCCGGATCGAGAACCACCGTCCACTCGCTGTCTCGCTGCATCTCGCATATCTGTCGCCATAATTATTTCCTTGTTACCCTTGTCTCCCGATTTCCTTATTCTAATTATACACATGGTTAAATTTAAAAAAATAGAGACAGTGCCCATCCCTCACCTACCTCGTTGCACACAAGAAACACCCAATTAAATCTAGAAAATTTACAACGTAGCCGACCCATCCCTCACCTCGTTGTACCCGAGGATACCCAACGACGCTGTGTAGGGCCCAGGTTCCCCCGCTTGTGTGGCCGAAGCGAAATACCCTGTGTCGTCCATGCTGTCCAGTGTCCAGCAGATGCCGTACGTTCCGAGACCTAAGACCAGCTTGCTCTTGTCTGCTCCTCCCGATACCCAATACTCGAGGCCGTAGTTCTAGAAGATAGAGGATAGATATGTAGATGTGTATATAAATATGAATAGATAGCATATGGAGATATTTAGATGCATATAGCTATATATAGGGATATGAAATTATAGAATATAGATATATTTAGATCTATATAGCAATGTATATAGATATGAATTGATAGAATATAGAGATATTTAGATGTGTATACATATGTATATAGATATGCATTGGTAGAACATAGCTAAAGGTATACACTAAGTATATACATATGAACTGATTATTATCATTAACATTATAATAATAAAACAAATGTGAGGAACAAGAGCAAACTCTCTCCAACTCACAATATTCAGGTAAACGTTGTTTCCCGTATCCCCCGGGTGTCCGTACAGAGGGGCATGGTGGTGGGTGTAGGTGCTCCAAGTACCGTGGAAGTTGTAACCACGCAGGAGGAGTAGATCCGTTACTGCTGACATAGCGGGGATGTCGTAGGCCTTGTCAATGACTGGTTTTTGGAGAGACACGGCAGCTGTTAGTAAGAGGCCTTCCTTCGTCAGCACCTCTCGAAGCTCAGTCAGGAGGAGGATGTAATTTTCCTGAAGTGAGGAATGAGGATTGTGGTGTTGATTGCAACAACATAATCATCAATAGCTGTTTTAATATTGGTGTCATTAATGACCATCAACATCATCATTATTATTATGCCATTACTATTCGTACTGAATTATCTTTATCATTATTGTTATTATCAGACTAACTGTCTATTATCGCTATAATCATCATAATCTTCACTATCATAAGTAGTAATTCGGCTATGATTCTTTATTCTGATTTTATGATGATTTTTATTGTTATTGCTGTTCTCACCCCTATGAACTTATTTTAATGATTTTGGTGTTGTTTTTATTACTTCTGTTATCGTTATCGTTATCACCCTTATTGTTGTTGCTGTTCATATTATTGATCTCATTGCTGTTATTATTATTTATTTTTGTCACTATCATTGCCATCGCAGCTAATATTATCTATCTGTCTGTCATAAGTATCATCTTAATTGTCATTACTGTCTTTTCTGTGGGGGGTGTTGTCATTACTTACTGAATAAATAATTATGTATCATTATCGTTATTATAATTACCAGTAAGATTATAACCATGTTATCAATGCCATTAATGTTATCGTATCGACATAACATTAATATTATCATCATTACTATTGTTTTTTTTTATAATAACTAATATCCAAACGATATTATTGCCATTACTATTATTATTATCATCATTATCGCTATTAACACCCAACTGGTTTTCAAATTCTGATGTTAACTATGTACGATTTTTGTTTTCCTTCTGTTTTTATTCTTTTTTACATTTCTTCTTGATGTATGTCGCACTCCTCATAATCAACTGATGTGTAGCATACTTTTTATTGCGACATGAAAATCCTTTTTAATCCCACAGATGCGTAATCGCAATAGCTTAATATTCTCTGACAACGAACCTGGTAGAATCGGCGTCGTTTTCTACACGAAATTAATTTATTTCCAAGTGATAATAGCTTGAAGGGGTTTCTATTTTATTTGCGAAATGTTACTGTTTTGTGTTTTTTTGTTTTGTGTTCTCCTAATATGGTAGTTCTGTTTCGTCTTCCCCATACGTTACTCTATTTTTTTTTTTTTCCTTTTTTTTGTATCGTGACTTATATATCATTCTAAACCTGTACAAAATTAGCGCCTTTCCAGGTAATAACAGCCTAAAGTGGTCTGTAGCCTTCATTTCCGATGGCCTGAGTTGTCTACTGACAGGTTAGATCTATCGCTTAATTCTCTTTACGATGCAATTTGTTCCACCCGATTTCTGGGAATCTACATTAGTTTACAGTTTGCTTTTTTCTACTCCATTACACACTACTCTGGGTTTCTTCATATTATAAAATCGCAGCTAATATAAAATACAAGCTTAGATTACCTTTAAAGTGCCATTATAGGTATGACTAGTATGAATATTAGAAAAAATAGCGACATCTAGTAAGCAACCCAGAAAACAGTTCTTTCGAATCTTTTAAATTTGACATCAACACTGTTCTGTATGAATTATATGTTCATGATGGTATATCGTAAAAAAAAAGTGTCGTGGCAGCGGAAATGATGACATGACTTCATACTCAAAAGGTTGTCGCATTAGCGTTTTTTATGGTAGTTTTATTCATTTTTTACTACTCGTCACTGTATGTATGTATTGTAACTTAAGCAACATACTGTACCTTGTCCTTCGGAATTCCGTTTTCGTCGCCAGGATACATCCAGTCTGTGTCTAGGCCGTCGAAGCTGTAGTTCTTCGCGAGGCTGACGGCGCTGGATATGAAGATTTCTCGTTTTAATGGGTCGGCTGAGACCTGTTGGATGTCAGAATGTCAGAACAAACTCTGTAAGCAGTACTGGCACTAGTAGAAGATATTTTTGTAAGTGGAGATACTATTTACTGATCGGACACCGATATTGGTAACGGTGCTCGTATTGTAACTTTTTTCTAAAATGAATTATCTGAATTCTTATGAAAAATGTGAACTTTGGGATATTTTAGGGTCTATATGTCATAGAAATAGGTGTCATAGTCATTTAGCATTACACTGCAATTTTGAAGTGGTGCTAAGTCACTCCTTTCCATCACTGTATAGGCCTTTTTGTAGCATCCCGACATTTGTAATACTAACTTATACATTCATGTTGGCTTGTGGATGCTACAGAACATGGGATCATGAAGTTTGTTCTGACATACAAATTAATGTTCTTAATTTCAATTAAAACGTCATTATCGTACTTATTATGCTAGTATGATTTATAATAAAAGACAATCTCAGGTAAGCCACTAATCACAAAGTAACACTGATACCATAAGCACACTTCAGGCATATCATCACAGGCTACTAACACAATTTTACAAGTAGAGTTCCAATTATGATGCAAGTCTTACCTGGGACATCAGCTTAGCGCTTCCTCCAACGGAAAGTAAGGTTTTGAGTTCTGGGTTTACCTTCTTAAGACCCGTGAACCTGTCATAGGCACAGAGGCCCCAGTTTTCACACAAATCATAGTAAGGTTCCAGGGGCTGAAGAAGAAAATAATATGAATAAGTTACATGTATATGATGGAGAGTCAATTCTGTAAAAATGATAATAAAAACTAGATAAATATATTAATATCTGAGCAGATAAATAAGTGAATAGCTAAATAGATGAATAAATGATTAAACGAATAGATAAATAAATAAATTTAAAAAGTTAACATAAAACTTGTGAAAAAAAAAGTTTATTTAACTATAAAAGGGAAATATCGTCACCATTCAGTACAATGTTTATTTTCGCCGATCAACATACTATAGCTTCCCACGTGGTTTCGGAGATCTGGGCATAGCTATAGATGACGTGGGTGCAAAGGAAAGGATCGATTTGGTCTATATCATACTTTCCAGCATCAGGTCGCCACACTGCCCATGACCCCAAGTAACATACTGTAACTGTTTCTGGAAAATAATGGAAATTGGAATATGACATGGTGCATCCATAGCCTTGGAAAGTACAATAAATATATATCAAATACAATGATAGATCAAAATAATGTTGAACGAGCGTTTTTTGTGTGTGCGATTGTCCCTTGAAAGATAATGAGTGGATAACCACCTTTCACTCCAGTGCAAATCACTCGTACAACACTAAACTTCACAACGAAAGATGAAATTACATTATCACCAATAATATAAGTAATAATTATGTAATAATGATTATGGTAATATTAGTAATAATGACGACCAATTGCGAATTTACCACCAGTCCAAGTAAGCCATTAGTTCAGGGCCTCCGATATCTAGAGGCCTTATTTCAAATATACACCGAGTATTTCATGAGTAAAGTAAAGTGCCATCAGTGGGCCCATTGATAATCTTGGCATGAGTCCCACTACTAAGTAAATCTACCCCAGGCCATGACTATCGAATGAAAAAAATAGTTAAGTAAATAAATCAACCAATAAGTAAATAAAAATTAAAAAGTTCAAAGATTTTGTGTTTTT